CGCCGAGTTACGATTAAAAAAGTGGCATCTCATTGGCCATTGCATCTTCTGGCATTAAAGCAACTTTATTAGATGAAGGCAGAACAGCTTATTCTGCACCTTAGCTGCCATTGAACATTCAAAATAATCCAGATGCAGTGTGCAACATAAAAAAAAACAATCGTCTATGGGCATAGCGCTGAAACAAGTAAAATAATTATTTGGGATAAATGCACTAGGGCATGTAAAAATTCGCTTGAGGCATTTGATTGGACAATAGGGGTATAAAAAACAATGATAAACTATTTGCCGGCTCTTTGTTACTTCTTTCAGGTGATTTCAGACAAACTCTTCCCGTTATTCCACGTCCAACGTACGCTAATCAAATTTATGCTTGTTTAAAATCATCGTGGAGTAATGTTGAAAAAGTACAACTGACTAAGATCTATCCTCCGAATTTTCCTCTAAACAACTGTTAGATATTGGCGATGGGAAAGTTGTCCTCACTTTAGTAGACTCCCAACTTGCTTCTGAAGAGGTGGAATCACAAGAGTTTGGTGACACATTGGCATCATTTTTCCGCTATTCAATCCTTTTTAATCTTGTGACTGATCGTGACCATCTTGTAGCTGTGGGCGACTTTAATATCCTAGAATTAAAGTGGTCCAATGTCGATAACTCAACTTTATCACTTATCACGCACCATGACTTCACCGCAGCATGTTTGACATGTCCCTAGTCAAATTAACCATGTTGCAAATTCGTTAGGTCGGCTTTTGGACTTATGTTTTGTATCTGATCCTGATGACACCACTCTCTCCAGAGCTTTCCCCCTTTCAAGTCCAGAGGATCCATATCACCCCACGTTGGAGGTCTCAATCGAAACCATTCCTGGTATCGATCAGATGTCTCCATGCGTATCAAATAAGATTCGCTGTTTCCGTAATGCGTGGCAAATAAGATTCGCTGTTTCCGTAAAGCTGATTTTCACAAACTTAATAGCCTTATAGATACATATGATTGGATGTCTGATTGGATAAGATGTCTCAATGCGTAGCAAATAAGATTCGCTGTTTCCGTAAAGCTGATTTTCTTAATAGCCTTATAAATACATATGAATGGTCCGATATTCTGGCATGCACCGATCTAAATGTCACCTTAGAAAAATGTTACCATACTGTCAGTCTGTCATTACGTTTTTTGACTTATGTGTTCTATGTAAATATCCGTCCGCTTCAACAAATCCTTCTTGGTTTATAAGGTGCCTCACTATCCTACAAAATACCAAAAATAGGCTCTTACTTAAATATTATATAAATATCCTTAAAACCTGCAGTAGTATAGGTTTTTCAAGTTATCTACTAGCTCGGTCAAATTTTAACGCTGAATGTTACAGGAATAATATTCGCCGCTGCCGGATACAATTTACTCAGTATCCAAAAGAACCTCCCCTTAGGGGATCAGGCCATTGCCGATCTATTCGCAGAATTTTTCCAAACAACTTTTCCTCGCCTAAATTAACAGATCAGCCTTGCGCATACAAAATTTAATCATCAAATCTTAATTTCTGTCCATTTTTCTGCGAGAATAGCTTATTATCTGATCTTCTTAGGTCACACACATTTAATCGCCAGGCCTCGATGGAATACCAGGCTGTCTGCTAAAGTACTGTGCCAGTGCTCTGTGCAAACCTCTTCTTAGAATTTTCATCTTATCTTTGGAAACCTCGATTTTTCGAGGAAAAAATCCGATTATGCCAACTACATAGTTATCTCTTAATTGTCGGAAATTCCAAAGTTATTTGAAAAATTAACTACTCCTCACTTGCAACACCTTTTCTCATCGATCATATCACCAAGTCAGCATGGCTTTATTAAGCTTTGCCCCACCACCACAAATTTACTGGAGTTGACATCCTTTTTATACCCTTGCAGAGGGTATTATAATTTTGGTCAAAAGTGTGCAACGCAGTGAAGGAGACATCTCCGACCCTATAAAGTATATATATTCTTGATCAGGATCACCTCATGAGTTGATATAAGCATGTCCGTCTGTCTGTCCGTCTGTCTGTCAGTTTCTACGCGAGCTAGTCTCTCAGTTTTAAAGCTATCGACTTGAAACTTTGCACACACCCTTCTTTCCTTTGCACGCAGTATATAAGTCGGAACGGCCCGGATCGGCCGACTATATCCTATAGCTGCCATATAACTGAACGATCGGAAATGACCCAACTTTCGTGTTTTTGAAGATAGAAAGCTGAAACTTGGTACACATTCTATTTTTGGTCAGTTAATCCGATTTACCAAATTTCATAACGATCGGTCGACTATATCTTATAGCTGCCATATAACTGAACGATCGGAAATGGTTTTTGGTAGAAATACCAACTTTGGTATTTTTGAAAATAGAAGTTTGGGACTTTTTTTAGATTTTGTATTATAATAAATATGGTTATATTATCATATTCTCGTAAGGATCGGCCGACTATATCCGATGTTTGCGATATATATCCGGTTTAAACTGAAAGAGTATATCAACTTCGGCTCCGCCCGAAGTAAGCTTTCCTTTCTTGGTACAAATGACTTGCCCCCTGCTTTATAAAGGGGACTTGTCCCCTTATACATATATGCAGATGATGTAAAGCTTTGTCTTTAGTAAAAATCCATCTCTGCTCAATGCAGTCTTCAGTCTGATCTTGAAAACTTTCAAAATTGGTGTTTAGCTAATTATTTAATACTTAATGGATCAAATAGCAAGCTTATGGTGTTCTTACCCTCTACAGGCTACGTATACTCTCTATGGGATTGCTTTAGAGAAATAAACTCAGGGTAATGATCTTGGCGTTCTATCAGACACTAAACTTAAATTTGCCGACCATATTTCCTCAATGGTTAATAAGGCTAAATGGATCCTTGGTTTCATTAAAAGGTGGTCAAACCCCTACACAACTAAAACGGTTTATGTGTCTGGAGTCCCCAATATGGAGTACATCAGAACCGCATAGAATTATAAAAGAACTTCTTAAATTTTTCACTTAGATGTCTTATACCTTTTTGAGCGAAAAAATTGAGGGAACTTTAGATTTATTTCAGGTGTGTAGCAATTATTTTATGACACTGAAGTTATTATGTATTGATAGTACATGTTTTTATCAAAACAACAAGCGTTTGTTCTTGAAAAAATATGAATAATTTACGAAGTTATGGCAATTATCTCGTATCCTTTTTTTTTTATAGCGGCTTGCGGGGACCACGATGGAAGTCCAGTAGGTCAACCGAAATCAAAAAACCAAAAATTTTTTATTAGTATTGTATTATTTCCAGTTCGTGAACGATTATTTTCAAGAATATTTGTTTTTTTCTGCATACAGTAACAATTTTTCCAAAATGTTGATTTTTTAAGTTCTAAAAATTTTATTAATAAATTCTGATCTGCGAAATCAAAATTGACGCATAAAAACTGAATGGTTCACGAACTCGGCACAATCATTACGAATTATTAAAAAAAAAATTGAAGAAGATCGATCAAATAGTTATTGTGCAATCGTGGTCATAGGGAAGGCACTTTTTGAAAAACGCGACTTTGAGATAATCGCATTCAAAGTTGCTTGACGCTGTCCGCAGCCGTGACGAACCGCGCCTCAAAACGCTGTTTTCCTATCGAACTTTTATTCGGATCTCTATGAAAATTTGGGAAAATATTCTCTAGGGGATATACTTTCATATATCTTACTTATACTTTCGTAAGTTTTCGTTTTTGTTTAAAAAAAAGGTATATAACTCCTTAACTGGGATGCAAATCTTCACCTTCCATCTTATAATAGTAGACTCTTACTTATAAACTTACCTAGCTTAACAAATCGTAGGACAATGCTCGGTGTAGTTTTTCTGCATAACCTTTTACCTTTTACATAATTTACTAACACGCTTAAATTTTAACATTCCCAATAGCAGGACTAGAAACTTTAGTCCTCTATTCCTTAGACATTGTAATTCGACATATGCACAGCACGTCTTATGGGTCTTATTTTCGAACTACAATGGTCTATACTCTATAACATTCTCTTTCCTGTCCTTCAAATTTAAAATCGAGTATTTTAAATTTTCCTTACTAACTCCTGTTAGCTTAACAAATATATAGCTTCATAAATTCTAATAAATCGTTTCGAGTGTCCCTCGGTCGTCTGGGCCTCTAAGCTGATGAAGGAAAATTAATGCAGGAATGCTATGCTCCAATTGATGCAAAACACGTATTACGTTATTCAGCAAAACACTGAATCTTAAGCTGTTTTATAGTAAAACCAGATTGGGCAAACGAGGCACAGGACGCACAGGTTCCGTCTTTGTTTGGGAATCCAAAATCCAAAAAGTAGTAGCGAAGTAAGTAGTAGGCAATGTACCCCCTATTAAATTAAATGACATTTGACCACAGAAATGTTGAAAATAACAAGTTAAATAATTTGTCTTAATTCAATTAACGAAACTTAACGCCAACGCAAGCAACAACCCAACTAGGTAATCATCTACTAGTAGTGAAACGGTGGCTGTCCGACTGGCGCATTAAAATAAACAAACAAAAGTTTAAACATATAATCTTTACTCTTAATAGACGGGCATGTTTGTCATGCCCCCTTCAAAAACAATTTAGAAAACATTTGGAAGCCTTCCCATTTATTTCGAACGATACAATTCATTATTGCAACAACTTTGGCATTAATGTAATTCAGCAGCCAAAATTCATAAATATGGAGCTTTCATATAATATTCCATATTATATCTTCCATATCACTAAATGACAGGATGTTTTGACAATTTTCATTTTAAGATATAAGCTTCAAACTTTTTCAGATTTGTGTTGCACAAAAATAGATTTTTTTTATGAAATATTTACATATAAATTTCTGCCAACTGTATCCAATTTCTGGATAACCCAATTGGGGAAAGTAAACCCGCTAAAAAATATACGAGTTAATAGTAGTAAGTAGTGTCACTAACAAAAATATGACTAATCTAGTAATTTACCAGTATCTTGTAAATTAAGGCTTAAGCTCTGGTCCACAAATATTCCAAGCGATGGATTAGGATCTGCAACTAATGATAACTGATCCAAGAAAACAATCATACGCTCTTTATTTTTTAATATGAAAGGATTTACAACCTCCATATATTGTTCCTGTAATATACAAAAATTTCATTAATAATAAAATAATATTTCATTTATGCATACTTGCCTTTCCTCCAAATTCTATCAAATTCGCTAGATTTTGTAGACACTTTGCTACCATAATTAATGAACGGGTGGCAGCCATAGGTGGATTTTCACCGACTAAACCAAATTGGCGCGGGTTAAGCAATGCTGGACACAGTAAGCGCAAAAAAATAAATCCAGATACAACACGGGTGCGCACCAAGCGTTCTGTTGGCCATTTAGCAATAACAGCTTTTTGAAGGCAGTTACAAATATAGCGCACATTTCGAGGGCAAGCATCCGGTGATGTAAATATTGACTGCGTTACAAGATCAAGAATTTGCAAAAGGAATTCCGCATTTGTGCAAGCGTCGTCGTTTACATCCATTTTTGTAGGATTAAGTTCGGCTGACTGCTTACTATCTAAAATTCGCTGCACCGTTTCGCTAACTGCAGACTGTAAAAATCCAGCGCATTCGGCTCGCATATACAGATCCATTAATGTTGTAGCCAAAGACGCCCCACGAAATAGCGTTGTAGTTTCATTTTCACGCGATACCTCTGCTTGACACAGAGTCCGAATAAGCTCTGTTTCTCGTTTTTCATGTCGGAAAACTCGCAATAATGCCGTAGCCAGTGGTACACGATCATTGTGACATAACTCAGCTAATGCTTTTACTGCATAAAGCTCAGATTCAAGAAGCAGTTGCTGGAGAGGACTGTACTCTTCGCAAGGCATTATAAGATCGTCGACGTAACGCAATCGTAAACGTAAGGATCCCCATTCACCCATTGGCGTCATTCCAGTGAGTTGATACCAGCCCTCAGTCTCCTGGCCATTCTTAAGACTGGCTAAGTCAATTGTTAGCTCGGCAACCTCTGAATCTTTGCCACGTTTTCCCCGTGATATTAATGTTATAGTTAGGGATACAACATCGGGAGGAACATCGCTATAAAAAAAACAAAATAATTGAATAAGCTTACAGTTTTAAATGATAAGAAAGAAAAAATTACTTTTCGACTCAGAAACCCAAGCATTATGTAAGCTTATATAACCCTAATTCTTACACCTTTGCAGATGGTACTATAATTTTGGTGTGCAACGTAGGAACGAAAATGCCGTTGCAGCAGCGAAAGAAACGACCATCGCTCCACTGTTCTCTACAACAAATTTAAACCGTGAAGACATTAACAAACAATTAAAAACAGAGTCCCTCAAAAATAAAACTAAAATGTAGCAAAAATCATCGCAGTGGTACCAACAAATCAATCCTGAAGCAAAAAGCATAGCAGACTACACTAAAACTACACAGACCTCCAACCTACCAAGAAAAGAGATCACTAAAATAATCCGGCTTCGACTTGGCCACACCAGGCTCACACACGAACATCGCTTCTCTCAGACACCAAACTACCAATACCAGTTCTGCACCACGGACTCTCAATCTCCCATATCCTTGACGACTTTCCCGACCTACAAACACAAAGAACAAATTTTCCAAATATTAAACTCACGGAACTGTTAATTGACCCTAAACCTGCAAACCTCCAGCTAATTTTAAACTTCCTTAAATCAGCTAACCTTTTGCATCTCATATGAACTCGTCTAAACTGTTATTAAATTTATAAATAATTTAAGGGTAAATAACTTGTTAACACACTTGTAAATAATTCTTATTTGCTATAAGTTTAATATTTAAGCAAATATGTAACACACATTGCGGCCGAAAGTCACCGCTGCTATGGCCGATCCCCGTCTGTACCTGAAGTTTAAAACTTTTCAGTGCAAAGTACAATAAATAAATAAAATAAATTTGGAGTATGAGGCAATAACAAAAACATTAAAATCTTAGCACATTAGCAAAAAGTATTATCAGTAACGGATGAACGAGAAAAAACAGAGCTAGATGTCTTCAGTAAGAACTATAAAATCACAACGCTTACCCCACCGAAATAAAACAACCAGTGGCTCTCTTTCAACGATAGCGTAAAGTAACCAGTTATGGTACTAGGTAAAAAGCTAAACTGGAATCAAACAAAGAAAAAAGGTTGAAGAATGGTGCAAAAGCCCTCCCCCCTGAATTATAAGCTAGATTTACACTTCCATAGTCAAACTCATGCTACTGTATAATGTCCTGGTATGGTGGCCAGCAAGTAGGAAAAAAGACCCTCTAGTTCCCACCAGCACAGATTACTGTACTCTTAGGGAATATATAAGACCCCTTTCTGCAGGGGTCTGCTTTTCTGCTTTTCCACAGCTTGCTTAAAACTAGGCAATAAGGTAGCAGGAGGAGTCTACATAAATCGAAAAATCAACGGCTTTTTCAGATTGCCTGGGCATTGCAGCGTTATTTAAGCTCAGGTGATAGCCTTCAGGGAAGCACTCAGACCTCTTAAAATATGCAGCTTCACAAATGGTGCAGTAAAATCTTCAGTGATAGCCAAGCAGCTCAATCAATCGGCTCGATTTCTAATAACTCAAAATCAGTCTCAGGCGGTGAGACGGTCCCTTCACTTGATGGCCCCATAGTAAGCAGCTGAGCTGGGACTCCGTCTCAAATTGTCTGTTGGCCCACCAACTCTGGCCCAGATCTCAAAGAAAAGAAAATACCATTTATTAAGACAAGACAAGTCCACGTGTAAAAATTTTGTCCTTTTTGTTTTAATTAGTTAAAGATATATATTTTTTTCAAAATCTACAACATTTAACTACAACTACAATATTTACCTACAACATTATTAAAAAACGTTGAAAATTTTAAAATCTGCTTAAAATTGTGCGTTAAGAAATTTTGAAGATCAAAAAAGTCCCGAAAAACGGTTTTTTCTAAATAAATCAAGATTTTGAGGGTGTTAGAAATATTTCAAACACGGTTTTGTACTATATTCGACCTATTCCTACTAGGTCTGTGCAAAAGATCCAAACCACTGTCGCACTGTGTTATCAATTGTAGCTATAGAATATAGTCGGCCGAACGAAAAAAAGTCGAAAAAAACATCCTTTTTTATTTGGAAAATGTTATAAAAATCCTATTACTTTTACCCTTTACATGGCAATAACTCCGATTTTCTAGATTTTTTTTGTTCGGTAGATAAGTGAAAATAAAAAATACACTTCTTTTTATTTTTTTTTAAGGTTGGTTTTTCTGAATTTTTTACAAAAAGCAAAAAAACGATTTTTTTAAACTTAGCGAAATTAATGATTTAAGGATGTAGTCTCATGTGTGAGGTTGAAAAAATCGATTTTTTTTTTATATGCATACTTTGGCATGCTATAAAGTGTATTAAACTTCACAAGAATAAATAAAACAAAATATTTTCAAATAGTTTATGATGCCTATAAAAACATATTTGAAAATTGAAACAATCACATTATTTATTATTACAAAAAAAATTTTTTTAAATAACCTCTAAAAAGTAGGCCGGAACATGAGACTACATCCTTAATTGTATTATAATGCAACAAACACAAAAACTCAACAATATAAAACTAAATATAATATTTACCTGTTTTTAAACATTAATTGAATCAATTATACAATTTTTTTTGTTTTTTTATACATTGAATCAGAAACTGCACAACCAATTCAGATTACCACATTCACCAAATTGGCGAGAAAAGTAATCACCCGTTTGAGTATTGGACAGAATTCTGAGTGACCAACACTTTTTATATAAAAAACGAAAGTTGCTGAACTGCACCCAAAAGATTTTGGACAGTTTTGTAACGCAGTTTCATAAATAATTGAATTTAAACGGTATGATGCAGATCTGCATCACCACCATGTAAAGGGTTAATAACTTTTAAACGAAATGTATGGGGGGGTTCCCTTAATGACTCATGGAAATTTTTTGTATAAAAATGCACCCGCTCATATCTCCAGTTACTCCAACGGCTGAAACTGGGAATAATTCGCTTTCCGAATTGCTCAGAACAATCGAGCAATTGTCCGAAATGTCTTCCGTGGCATCCCTTCAAGTGATACCACGGATCCAATTGAACGAAACCCGCGGAGTCACCCTACAGGATAAAACCTTGTCCGGTTCCCAAGTATCGACTGATGTTTCAGTTTACGTACCTGCGACAGCAAAACCTTTAAAGATGATTCCTCTATCGAAACATATATTTGTTTTTCGGCTTGCCTCTGACAGAGATTGATATCTCAGCTTACACTTAAGGGGTTATATACAGTTGTACCGCACAAAAAAATGAAATTTTATCGATTTTTTTTTGACACCATAGAAAATATTTATGAAAAATGTTTTACCGACGTTGTTTATTACATGTTTCTGGGTACTTATTTAAATTTTTTCAAAAAAAACAAGAAAGCAAAGCTAACTTCGGGCGGAGCCGAAGTTGATATACCCTTGCAGCTAAAACCGGATATATATCGCCAACATCGGATATAGTTGGCCGATCCTTATGGGAATATGAATATATAATCCAATTTATTACAATACAAAATCTAAAAAAAGTCTCAAGCTTCTATCTTCAAAAATACCAAAGTTGGTATTTCTACCAAAAACCATTTCCGATCGTACAGTTATATGTCAGCTATAAGATATAGTCAACCGATCGTTATGAAATTTGGTAGATCGGATTAACTGACCAAAAATAGAATGTGTACCAAGTGCCAGCTTTCTATCATCAAAATCACGAAAGTTGGGTCATTTTCGATCGTTCAGTTATATGGCAGCTATAGGATATAGTCGGCCGATCCTTACGAAATTTGGCATGTCGTATTATTTTGCCAAATTTTGCGCTCGTGTAAAATTTGAACTCTCTAACTTTAAAAACACCAAAGTTATACCATTTCCGATCAATCAGTTATATGGCAGCTATAGGATATAGTCGACCGATCCGGGCCGTTCCGACTTATATACTGCGTGCAAAGGAAAGAAGGATGAGTGCAAAGTTTCAAGACGATAGCTTTAAAACTGAGAGACTAGTTTGCGTAGAAACAGACAGACGGACAGACAGACGGACAGACAGACGGACAGACGGACAGACGGACATGCTCATATCAACTCAGGAGGTGATCCTGATCAAGAATATATATACTTTATAGGGTCGGAGATGTCTCCTTCACTGCGTTGCACACTTTTGACCAAAATTATAATACCCTCTGCAAGGGTATAAATATTACATAATAAAAATGTTATAGCCGAATTCCCGGATCGTCTTTTTTGGATTGTGTCTTGCGGTGGACATGATATCCCGAAAACGGTTCACCCAAAATCAAAAATTCAAAAAAATTTAGTTAGTATATATTGTATTGTCTAGTCCGTGAACGAGGGATTTTTAAAAATTTTGATTATAAAAAAAAATGGCGGCGGTTTTAACAAAAAATGTACTTTTTCAAGGTATAAGATTTTCGATTTTTATGCTTTAAAAAAGGAGTTTAAAGGAGTTTGAAATCCCTCGTACACGGACTAGCTAATATCGTAATAAATAAGTGGTCAAAATTTGGTGTTGATCGAATTAGTAGTTTTTTAGTAATCGTGTCCACCGCAAAGGTAATTTATTAAAAAAAAGATTCTGAGATAATCGCGTTTAAAGTTTCAAGTTTGTTCAAGTTTTATATGCAGGTAGTGCGCTATAAATAGCTACAACTTCGGTTATACTGCTCCGATCGTTATGAATCGTTTGTGCAAGTATTCTCAACAGTATATACTTAAAGAATATGTAATAAAAAAAAAATCGATTTTTTAATCAATCAATCACAACTGTATATAACCTAGGGATGTCGGAAATATATCAAAATATCGATATATCGATATATTTTCTCTTAAAAAAATATTATTATCGTGATATTTTTTGGGCAAAAATAGTCGATAATAATATTTTTGAGTTGGTGTTCTCCGATATTAGTTGCGAAAGAAAGGAAATGCAGGTTTACTTGAGTATGCCATTTTGTATTTGGGAGACAAATCCGTTGGAATTCTGGAA